GATCAAGGGCGGGAAGGGGCTCCGGGGGTCCCGCGGCGGGCGCTGCCCGCGGCCTCCCCCCAACGTCACTTCCGAGGCTGGAGACAAGATGGCGCCCGGACGGTGCCGGCGCTGAGGCCGCTCTGCCGCCAGCGGGGCCCGGGTGAGCGGGGGGCGGCGGGACCCGCCGGGAGCAGCCGGGCAGGGCCGGGCGGGCGCTGGGCAGGGCCGGCGGCGCTGGGAGGGAGCCTGCGGAGGCTGCTGCGGGTGCGGAACCGCCCCGGGGTCCGCGGGGAGGCAGCGGCCGGGGGCGTGAGRGCAGCGGCGGCAGGTGCGGGACCTGTGCCCGGCGGGACGCGGGAGCGCCTCGGGGAGGGGAAACGAGGGCGGAGGATGGCGGGAGAGGCCGCTTGAAAAAAGATGCTCCTTCCCCCGGGCGGCTKTTTCAATTTTTTTGTCTTGAAAATGCTGCCTCGGAAGTGTCGGCTGGCTGCAGCCGCTGCCAGCCCGATGCTGAGAGAACTCTGTTCTTTCAAACTGTCTCCAGAAGTTCTGGCACTTCGCAGGCCCCAAGGTTCCTGCAGGTCGCGTTCTACCAAGCTGGGTGAGCAGGGCTTGAAGAAAYTGACTCCAGAATTGGTTCCCTCGCTGGAAATGTCCATTCATAAATTATTCTCCTAGGTTTAGAATAATTCATGATGGTGCAGTGGTACCGTGGGGGAATAATRTTTGGGGTGAGATGAAAAATATTCATGTAAGATATTTAGAGCAGCTCAAGAGATATCTTAAGTGCATTTTTTATTTGAAGCTAGAGCAGCCTGTGGAGCACTGCTGATAACCATCTCATGGGCAGGTAGCTGAASTATTCAGTGAAGTTTCCAGTGGTTTCAAATTCATATGAAGCTGCAAAATTTCCATTCTGAAGCAGTAAAGAAAACTTCAAATTGTTTTCAGCTGTTGAGGAAGGAAGAGAAGATGGTGTGGCTGCACCTGCTAATCATTCAGTGGCAACAGAAGTATTTTTCTCATTTCACATTTGAGTGAGCAGCAGTGGACAGCTCTAGAGAACAGCAGGGCTGCTTGTACTTCTGATGCTGCCCCAGTTTGCTGCTGCCAGTCTGTGCTGTRGTCTTTGGGCATGTTATTTGGATGTTAAGTCTTTTCCAGCGTATTCATAAGATCTAAAWAGATTAGGGGAACTGGAGACGAACAGCAGCATGGTATGTAATTATTACGTTCCTCACCAGGAACTGTAGTGATAGGACAAGAAGTAATGGTTTCAAACTGAAAGAGGGGAAGTTTAGRTTAGATATATGGAAGAAATTGTTCCCTGTGAGGGTGGTGAGGCCTTGGTACAGGGTGCCCAGAGAAGCTTCYCATCCYTGGAAGTGCCCAAGGCCATGTTGGACAGGCTTGGAGCAGCCTGGGRTAGTGTTCCTSACCATGGCAGGGGGAGGAGCAAGATGGGCTTTAAGTTCTCTTCCAAACCAAAAGCATTCCATGATTCTACTATGTTATCTTCTGACACCATATTTCATTAAAAATTATGGGCATGTTAAGAATTCAGGGCTGCTTTCCCTGGTGTAGGAAGAGATTCCCAGCTCTTCCAACTGCAGAAAAGCATGCTGGTGAATTGGTGAGAGCATTAGCACTTTTCTCATGGAGATCTGCATCACTGATAGATGAGGGAGTGACTTTTAAGAAACAAAAGAACTTTTGGACTTGCAGAGACAGCAGTGAGAACCATGTGGAGGTACCTGTTGGTTTTCAAGGGTATGGCTCCCAGGATTTGCTGGGACAGCAGTGTCACCACAGTCCATGGGATAGACCATAAAAATAAGTGACACTTACAGTGAAACCCTAATTGTGTTAATTAAAGGGCATATCATCACTTTGGTTACAGTATCTTTGCTAGAAATGCTGTGGTTAGGTATGGTGTTTGGAGACTCCTGTTTGGTGCCTGAGTTGGGGTTTTATGGGAGTCCAAAGAGCAGCTTTCTACCAGCACAGCATAGAAGGTGGCAACACTACTAAAAATTTGCTTGAGAATGGAAGGGAAGTAAAGCAGAAAGTATTTTTTCTGTAAAAACTGAAACGGCTCTCGAAGTCCATCCTGCAGTGTAATAATAAACCCATTTCAGTCTTACACATAAAAGCCTTGATCCTTAGGGGTAAACATGTAATATAAAATGTATAAAAGGGAGATGCTGCTTATTGGGTGTCTCTTTGTTGAAAGCAGGAGTTCAGAGAGGTTCAGAGATGACCAGTAATGTATTCCTGCCTTGGCAAACCTGTTTAAAATGCTGCAATATCTTTGTTGTTGAACTTGTTAGCATGGAAAGGGCATATATGATCCTGATACTTAACCTCCCAAATGATAAAATTTCTTTTACCAATGTGCTTTTTCTCCACTTAGAATAAGCTGGAAAATGAGCTGAAAAAGATTTCTTCTTTCCCTCTGTATAAAACATGCTGCAGTCAAAAGTAGGAGGATGAGTTCTGTGTTGTAAAAAGAARTTACTGAAATGGGCTTTTTCACGTAGTAGTAAATCAGCAATATACTTACCTGAGAAAATTTTCATTGGGTTTTACTGCATTTGCAAATCAAATTAAAGTGCACTCATATCTGAAGATTGGAATGGYGTTTCTGCATATTTGCACTTGTTAGAGACTTGTTATTTTCTGTTGACTTCTCTTGACTAGTTGCTGTTTAATTAATGAACTCGGGTTTGTGTTGTGTTGGTGATTTCTTGGCTCATTTTCTTGGTTACCTGAATAAACCTTCCTGAGGTGTAAGTTTATTTGGTTACGTGGCAGTAAGCAAAGGCTTTTTTCTTACTGGACAATAGATAATAGATTTTAGTGTTCAGAAAATCATTGTCTGCACTTTTTTTCTCTGTTTTTATTCAGGCAGCCTTGAGTAACTGAAAATGTCTTTGCACTTAAGTGCCTGTCCGTAGAAACAGGATGCCCTATTGGATGYRTATTTTAATCTTTTAGAATTAACAYGARCTTTATTTCTTTTTAATTGGCAAGCTTTGTTTCACCTAATGCATGGAAAATTTGTGGATGAGAGTATTTCAGTATTGAATTGAAAAAATGGTCATGTGCTGCAGCTAGAAACTAAAACAAAGCCAAGAGCTGAGCAGTATCCCAGCCTGAACCCTGGTCATTAGGAAAACAGGCYGTGGAGACTTTCAACTTGTTCCTGGTTCTCTAATGAACATGTTTTTACTGGAGCAGTGACGTAATGCATGTCCCATTTTCAGCTTCCAAAATATGATTGATACTCTCAAGCCTGGTTTTTCCTTTCTCTGAATCGGAAGCAACATTCTCTTTCAATTTTTTTTTTTAATTCTGGGATTTAAAAAAAAAACCCACATACAGAAATTATAAATACAGCTTATAAAATCAGAATATAGACTACATAGTAAAACCTAGGAATGCTTACTAGTCTGTTTCATTCTGATTGAGTTGGAAAGAGGTGATCTACAGTGCTGGTTTGGAATAAAATTACTTGCTTTGATTTGAAGACTTTATTTCTAACAAGTTATAGGTTTTCTAAGGGAATATTTAAAATTCTGAAGCATAGTTTCAGAAATAAGGTCAAAATACTTTTTGCTTCGAGTGTTTTGTTTTAGAGATCACTCCTTAAATACAAATGCCTTATATATTCTTCTCTGAAAAAAATATAATTTGTTGCCTAAAACTGAGCCTTTCAGAAAAAAAAAATTCTGAAACTTTAAAATKATGCAGTAGATCTTCTTTCCCTTCTTTGTTTCCCAGATGCTTTAATGTCTTGAGTAAGTGTGTGGTATTTTTGTACTCACGAGAAACAGCAATTGGTTGTTTAAAATCAATATGACTTGGCAATGTTTTCTGAGAATTAATTTTGAAAATTCAGTTTGCTGGTGTGCATGGTTCACTTTTGGCATAGAGCCTTTATTATTCTTTTTTTAGGGATTTCAGTGAATGGCTAACATTCACTRTAGTAGACTTTATTAACAATATTCAGGTCTATGATTTTTTATGTTGCTGTTGAGTTTGGAGGAAAGGTTGGGTGAAAATAGTTGTTACCTGTATTTGGTGGAGCTGCTGTACATCAGTACTTTTTCAGAGTWCTGATGCAGTTGTGGACTATTGGTAGCTTTAAAACTGCTTTAATGGGGTCATCATKGTGTCTTTAAACTTAATATATGACAAATTCCCCGGTGACAAATTAGAGCACCGTGGTTTTCTTCGGTGCTTTCCTGGGAAATCCTACCCAGGACCTCACTGTGTGTACCAGGGAGTTCATTAGGGTACAGAGAGCTTGTTCTGCTTGCAGTGAGAAGAGTAAAGACCTTGCTGGTACTCAGTGATCATGCTGGGAACTAATATTTAGGCAGCAGTTGTAGAATTTGTTCGATGTTTCTTGAGTTTGTTGGACTTTGTGTACTGAAAGTTAAACCCCAAGTTTACTGTTACAGATACTTCTGTTCTYATGACATTTCATTTATGTAGAAAGAAAACTAGTGTCAGTACATACAATGATGTATGGTATTAATTTTATTTATTTTCCAGTGGAAYTAATCTTGCTTTCCACATAGTTTAGTTCACTGTTAACAAAATAAGTAACGTGGAAGATGGAAAATTTTTCAGAACTGCAGGTATAAAATTTTAATATGAAGTGTGTGTTTTAAATTAATAGCTTCAAAAATACTTGTTGAAGCTTTTGGATTACTGCAAATTGAAGCTTTTGGATTACTGCAAATTTAATTTCTCACCTAATTGTGTTTTATGCTCAAGTGGTTCCACTGGTAATTGGTAGTTGAAAGAATATAGAGTACATGGACAATTCCTGCAGGAGGGTTYCTAGATTGCTTTCCAGATTTGTGTTCAAAAGTGATTATATCAACAGTTAAGTGGCATTGAGGGAATTATGATCTTCGGTGAGAGGGAGGAGAAAAGGTAGAAATAGGCAGGTGGAGACAGTAACAACATAAACTCATGCCACAGCCTGGTGCTCCTCAGGCTGTTCTCCCATGTCCATCAAATGTTCTGGCTTTTCTTGACTTTATGTGTGTAATCATATTAAAAGATTCTAAAACTATAGAAAAATAAAACATTCGATACTAAAAATAAGTCAGGTTTCATGCTAAGAAATTATTTGATATCTCTCTTGCTACACAAAATATTTAATTTATAAATCTGCGTTGTGTGGGTTTTGTCCCAATGAACAATGAAAAAGAGTGCTGGGTTTTTCCCTGATGTTCAGGACTCRGTACAAAAATTTTTACTGACTCAAATACTGAAGTAAATTAGGRAGTTAGAAATAATGCATTCCAAAAGGAATGCATTTCTTTGGATGTGTACAAGCTGTTCAGATGGAGCTCCTTATCCCAAAACTGGTCTTTGCTGGCAAACTTTAAATTCCACAGAATCAGTTGCAAAACTGGAACTGAAATACAGATGTTTCAGCTCTTTTACTAAATGCTCTCATAGTATGGAAACACCAGGACAAAAGGAGTTAATCCTGGAAGAGCTGTATACAACAGAARTATCCTTTCCAAGGACATTTTTCCWTTTCTTAYGGRTTTCTTAAGCAGTGTAACATTTGAATGATGCTTGGCAGTGTTGTCACTGTCGCACAGCATTGAGAATTCCTTCAGTGCAAAGATGTGAGGATTACATGAAATTTATTTGGAGAAGATTTTGCTTGAACTTATTTTAAATTAAATGTTAGTACTTATGCAGACTACTTATTAAAACATTAGTTGATCATTGTTATAGTAGGAAAACTAAAGACAGGGAAGAAATAGCAGTATTTGATTAAAGTGCTTTAAGTGAAGAGGGACCAGTTAACTTCGAAAAAGGGGGAATGTCATTTATTGGAAATTCTGTATCACAATGGGGCCGAAAGTGTTTCCAGCCTAAGTTGTAAAAAAGCATTTTTGTATTCATTAACAAAGCAAGGAAGTGAGGTGATGTCCTCAACCCTTAGATAATGCATCATTCTGATTAGTTTACTCACTATATTCGTAAGTTTTCAAATTTGATGCCTACTTGAACTAGGAATTTTTGTCAGATACCTTTTGAAATCTCAGGCTTTTATTAAAAAGGACTGTAAAATGCATTAGTGTAATAAAATACCTCAGTAAAGCTCAATTTAAGGAATATTTTCCTTTTTCTAATATGGAAGAGTAGAGACTCAATACATGCTTTTTAAATTTGAAAACCACATAACCATAATGCTCTGATATAAAATTCTAAAGAGATCTGACTTCTAAAGTTCTTGAAAGTACTCAGTCTTGAATGTAATAACTTACTTTAAAAAAACAAATAGTGTAATACTGTCTGAGCACATCTGTTACATCCTCATTTAAAGCAGGAGAAAGATTCATGCTAGATATCCCTCTTGAGATTATTCAGACACATTTGACCTATAATAACAAAACTATAGCTTGGAGCAGATTTTTTCTAAAGCAAAACACTCCTTTTCCACAGGTGATTTAGGAAGAGAAACTACAGCTCTGTGTGTACTTTCAGTTCAATGTAAATTTATACAAAGGTACGTGTTAAAATTGTCTGTTTTTCTTTTTAGGGCTCATGTAATCAAAGGAGTTTCTTTGTTGTGTGTATCTTTTCAGAACACAACAGGAATTCAAAATGAATCAGGTGAGTAGAAATGTAAGACTTTATCAAAATACTTAGAACAGTTAATTATTAATAAGWAAAGTAAATCATCCACTAAAAATGTTCCTTAAAATCTTCAGTCTCATTAAATTTAATCATCATCCATTCCAAAGTGTGTATGCATGTGAGATGTCTGCTATTTCATGGATTCAAGGTTTTTGTGAATTCCCTTTAGCAGTGTGTAAGTTATTACTGCTGGCACCTCGTCTAAGAATGCCTCTCCAGAAAATTCTATTTCCTCCTGAAACTSTATGTAATAAATCAGTTCCTTATAAAAGTGACTTGAAAATCGAAGGCTTCCATTTTTTAAATTTTTTTCTACTTTCCTTTTTCAAATATGTGGTAAACAATCTGCTACAAATTGATTGATTGATTGATTGGGAAATTTCATATTTTTCTGGAATCTGAAATGTTTCTCCTGGAACTAAGTGGAAAGACTGGGAAAGCACATTTCTCTGGAGTCACGAGTAGCCTGACTAGAGGGTGTTGTTTTAATCAGCACCAACTGTACAGCTTTTTTTTTCTGCATTTRTTTGTCCAAGTAGGAATTGTCTGTCAGTTTGTCTGTCAAACACAATTTTATTACTATAGAGATATAGGAAAAGTACACGTTGCATCAAATTTTTCTCACAAGTCYTTCTCTCTCTGGTTGTTCTTACGGAGGGTCTTTGGCCTGGGAATGTGACCAYAGGATATCACACTGCAGGAAAGGCATTTTTACTTTTCTGAAAAAGTCAGCCATGAACAGAAGTTTTATGAGTCAGAAACAAGCACAGTACACAGTTGTATAAAATGCTTTGTATAGTTTGATGCCTGTAGCTAATCTGTGCTTTTATTATTCTTATTTCATCAGCAACAGCCCTAAATACAGTTAGCATTTGCTGAAGTGTGTTTTCTCTGAAGTCATAGAAGTATATGCATAAGTAATTGTAGCATGGAATGAGTTGGTGGGATGTTTCCTRTTGCTTTTCTTCTCTGATTTAAAGTAAAAATCTTCAATGTACATGCATGTATTAAAAAGGTAAAAAGCAAGATATAACCTCTATCAGACCATTGAAATATCTATTGTAAAAATACATACTTATATCTATAGACAAATATAACTTACGTATGTAATAGAAATGACATTTGCATTAATAATCTATTTTGGGGTGTCAGGTTTAACTGTTCCTCTACAATTTCTGATGARACTTGAAATTTTTTCACCTGTAAGATTTGTTTTGATGCACTCAGTGGCATGAAACCAGCAGCCTATTGCTCTGTCTGCATGAGGAATAATCCTGCTTTATTAATCATTCCAATAAGCTTTGGATTCTGCTAAAACTCTGAAAACTGTAGATCCTAATCTGTAATTGTTATTATTGACTGTTTCCTTCCCATTTGTGTCCTTGTCCCCTCTGTCCTGTCTGTTGTTGCGTTCCTCCGCCCCTGATCTGTTTCTAGAATTAAATCAGATTTCTGTGCTATATTAAAATCCTCATCCTTCTTATGGGGAGTGCTGATCTCATTTATGCTATGCTGTGATGTGTGTCATCTTAAAGTGTGAGATGACCCTTTCTCTGGGAGTTCTTAAAACAGTTCTTAGGGTCCTCCTCGGTGTTCCTGGCTTTCACCTTTGGTTTCCAAAGCACACRGAGCCCATATGGCTTTTTCTTGTTCACTGACCATTTGTATTGTGTGTATTCAGCATCAACCCTGTGGTGTTTTTTCTTGCAGTGCCCTTGTCATTTCATTCACTGTTGACAAGTTGTAGTGCCAGGTCTGTATGAGAAATGTTTTTGCCTGATGCCAAACATCTTTCAAGTGGTCTGTTCTGATATTTCTTTCATTCTGCTTGTCTCTGCTTTTGGTGTAACTTTGGTGACCCTGAAACTAACTGGGCTGGTGTTGATTTGGTTTATGTGARAAGCCTGTTAGTTGTGCTTTATCCCACAGAAACCTTGAAGTAGAGAAGGAAACCTTTTCATAAATACTTTGATATGGCCTTCTTGTTGTAAGRAGAAAGATTAAAAAAACCCATCTGTTGTTGGAATCAATATTTTTGGGTTTCTTGGAAGATTCCTGTCTCAGAATAGGCAGTATGCTCTTTTAAAAGGARATCTTCCTTTAATATGTAAACTAGTTCATCAGAATAGCTGAATWWTTTTTTTTTTAAAAATCCCCAAGCAAATGGGTTTGATTTGTAGCATTTACTGCATCTCAAACTGCAGTAACACAGAGCAGGAGGAATTTGGGTGCTATCTGGAAAACAGCATGGGCAGTTATTTAAAAAGGGCTGAGGAATACAGGAACAAATGACATCTGCACTTGTACTGAAACTCCCTCCCCCAGTTCCTTCTGAACTTTTCAGTGATTATTTCAGATATTTCCAATACAACTTTAATTTTCAAGCACACAAATTATGTGAAATTGTGGCAAAGAGGAGTAGCCAGGTAAGGTGTTTGGACAAGGACAGACCTTTCTGCTTTCCTGTGCTAGCTGGCACAACTACCCTTTCTCAGCTGCCTCTTAACTTCTCTGCTGTCTGCCTCTCTCTTCAATTGCATCCTTTCCTTTGTCTTTTCATTTATCCAAATCCGGTTTCCACCCTAACATGCCACTAACTGAGTATCTGTAATTCATTGCACCATTCAGGATGTTTTATTTCCCTTTCGCTCTAATCTCGGATCATCTGTAACATCTTGTTGCAGGTGCCTTTTCTACTCTACTTAAATACTGTTGTAATATAGACTAATCTCTGGTTGGTTCATAAATTATATTGAAAGTGGTGTGAAAAGTTGTTTAAAGTGTTAAAAGTCACTGAGTGTCTAGACTCTGGATTTGATGCAAAAAATAAAAGATAGTTTCAGTTAAGGCACTACTTCAGCCCTAAAATGCTCCTTTGGTGTTGTTCTAAARTCACTTTGTACTGGCTGATTAGAATGCTAGAATGTAATTTTCTGATGAACTTCAGAGTAAGAAGCTTAAAAGTGAAAKAAGCTTCAGGTGTTTATGTATTCAAAACTGCAGCCTTGGAAGGAGTGAAAAGGCTGTGYTAAGGCTAAGATAAATGCAAAAGTTGGCTGTAGGACGTGCACAAGTGCACTACCCTTATCCAGAGGTGAATTTTGTAGAGAGAAAAATAAATTCAAATGTGTTGGKTAAGTCTTAGTAGCAAAGTGATTGAAATACAGTATTTCTTTTTGGTAGACAGACATTGCTTGGGGACAAGTTGYGATCTGGAAAAAGTTTCAAGTAGCTACATCTAAATTGCAAATAAAAACAGATTGCACTGATTTGACTGAACGGAATTGTTTATTTTACTGTTTTGAATTTGATTACTTATTGCCATTCGTTTGAGGTGTGAAATGCACTGTTGTGTACAAGGCCATATCCAGTTTTCTAGTACTTGTGAAATCCATTAATATGACAAGTGTTGGGTGAGTCTGAGTCTTGTGTTCTCTGAATGTCTAATCTCTGATTAATGATAATCTCTGATTTATGTAGGTAGATGCACAAKAAAGTTCTGATTGTATATTACCAAATGCACTTCTTAAATGGTAGAACAGTTTGGGGGTATTTACGGCCAAAAGGAAGTGAGACTATTGCAGAATGTGTACTTCTGCCTGAATCAGTTGAGTCTCATTTTTAAGTTTTGATAGATTAAAGTTGATTTGCAAGCTTCAGATTTTTAACTATTCATCAAGCAGTTGAGATTTTTAACTGCTTATCAAAACCGCAAACCAAAACCAACATTCAAAAAAACCAAACCCCCAAGTAAAACGCAGCCAAAAAACCATCCCTCTTTTGGCTTGAAACTGGAAGTGCACCAGTCTGAGAGCTGTCAGCCACGCTCTTCTATGTCTGTACATAACTTGTTAAAAATCACGGTGAAAAATAAGCTTGGTTCTCCCCTGGTGCAATCCTGGGGKAATGTACTGGGAAGATGTTTAGGTTTCTTTGATATGCTGAGAAGAGYATGTTTCTTTTTCATCTGAGGCATGGCTTCTTGCATATCAGTTCAAGGCTAACAGACGTCTTAAAATCAGGCTGTTTTCATCAGTATTTTTTCTTTTGGGTTGTTGGAAGAGCAAAATAAAGCTTTGCTCTGCTTTGAATAGACTTCAGCTATTCTAACTAATGAATAARTATTTCTCCCTCTCCCTGGTGTCTTCACTCTGGGATAGGAAGGGATTTCTGGCATTCTCTCCCTTCCATGGTTTCCAATTTGGGGTCTCCCCTACAAATAGCTCTCTGGGAGCTCTCTGTGCAGCTGTTAAGGCTTATGAKGGCAGCTCTAGAATAACCTTGCTCTGACTCCAGTTTTATCATTTTCCTTGTTGCAGTTAAAACTGGCATAAAATTTGTTCTTGTAACTCCACTCAGCAAATCAGAGTGTCAAACATAGTGAATCATTGCCCTAGCASCACCCTGGCAAAGACAGGGTGCTGAGAAGCTTTATCTGTTTTGCTTTAGATAAAAAAAAGATGAAATCTGATAGCATATTGAGCTGCATTTTAAAATATATTCCCAGTAACCTTTCAGCATATTTCAAAAGTATTCACTAGAAATTCACTGTTGCTCAGTGTATAAAAACTACTATTGTATTTCTGCCTCATGGTCATGGGTAAAAGCCAGAATAATTTCCAGAAAATTGGAGTTTATTTGGACAAATCTCTCAGTTTTACCACTCCTGAAAATGGGTTCAGATCTCAAGTATAACATCCTTAGTATTAGAGTTGTTCCTGCCATTACCACCAGTGTTTGTTCCTGACTAGAATGATTAGAGTTCCTTGTCAGAAGGCAGGGAGTTGTTTTAGAGCATGTGGCTCAATAAAGCCCTARTTCTCACCAAACGCAGTTCTTTCACAATGTGGACACATTTTATGGGAAGCTTTGCATTCTTGTAACTTTGAAATTCTGGTCATTGCTATGAGAAATAGTGTTTTGTTAATTATAAGTAGGTGATAAGGAGCAGGTGGTTTCATGACAAGTATGAGTTGTAATAGTATGAATAATATAATATTGAACCTTGGAGGCTCCTTAAAATGGAGCTAACCACTTTCTGGACAGTAAATAATTTATTAGCATTATATTGCCTATCAAACTTTAATATTAAAATACCTTAAAACTTCTTGTATTAATTATAAGCTGCTGGCTAAAGTTCTGAGCTGTTCCTTGATGTAAGAATTATGAGTAACATTTATGAGACTGAAATAATAACTATTTAAACCCTTTTATTGTCTTTAAAAACTACTTTTAGCTTATTCTCTTTGTTGCAGAGCAGTAAACTTGACATGCACATACCTTAATCACCAAGAATTGTAGGGACAGGACAAGGGGGAATGGCTTCACGCTGACACAGAGTGGGTTTGGATTGGCTGTTGGGAAGAAATTCTTGGCTGTGAGGGTGGTGAGGTGGCACAGGTTGCTCAGAGAAGCTGTGGCTGCCCCATCCCTGGAAGGTTCTAGGCCAGGTTAGACGGGGCTTGGAACACGCTGGGGTAGTGGAAGGTGTCCCTGCCATGGCAGGGGGTGGCATTGGATGGGCTTTAAAGATGCCCTTGAGGAGTGTCCATGCTCCGGGGAGGAATCTCCACGTTCACTGCAGGAAGGGATGCGTCAGAAGATCCTCTTAAAAACTGGGCCTGGGCTTTTCTAGGCTGAAGTGCTGGACTGTCAGTCAGGTGTCCCCAGGCAGCRGTGCCAGCTCAGCAGCTTTAGGCAGGCTATCAGGAGTATCAGTAGTTTGTTCTTTTATCGGGTGCTTTATCACTCTGCCACATCTCCTCACCCTCAGGATGTTTAACTTGGTTATGATGATGTAGTCTGCCTGCTTTCAGCATTATTCAACACCAAAAGCAGCATGACCCTMCTCCCCATTCACCACCGATAGCTTTGCAAATAGAGCATTGTCTTTCCCCACTCCATTCCCCAATCCTGCTATCCTGTGGCAGAGTAGATGGTGTATCCCAAGTGCAAGTTCTAGTGTCTGCTTTGTAGTAGTTAATTTACTGAAACAGCCTCCCTTCAATCGGCAGAGCAAACAACTTTTCGGGTTTTTTTAACTGTAGGCGTTTCTTGGAACTTTCAGTTTGGTTTTCTCCTGAAGTTACTTTTTAGTCTTTCTTACAAGGGATACTTTGTCACGTTAGGCAAGATCAGAAACTGTTTTACATTGGTTTTGAGGGAACTGATTAGTTTGAGTGTGATGAACTGATGAATTTGAGTGAGGCCTGAAGTCATCCTTTGAAAAAGGAAAATAAACCATTTCTAATATATGTAAAATTATCCTCAGTGTGGTGAGTTTGGAAATTTCATTTTARTTGCCAGCCAGGAGGTTTTGAAGCTCATGTAGGTTGATCACCTGTTGTGTAGTTGGTTTTGCCTATTGATGGTGGTTGGCTTTTTGACTTGTAGAACACAACTGACTCTCCTGTTGCTGTGGAGACCTTGGATGATGTTCCTGAGCACGTGCTTAGGGGCCTTCCTGAGGAYGTCAGGCTCTTCCCTTCTGCTGTTGACAAGACTCGGCTTGGTGAGTGCTACAGCCATGAAAAGAGAAAGAAGATTTTTACAGTAGCTCACATAAATTAGAAAGTGCTGTGAAAGTGTGRTGCCCTCCTGTGCAGGGTAGAGATGAGGTCTGGTATATTTGTCTGAAATAATTTCTGTTTGAAGAGTAGACATCTCTCCAGTCTGAGACAGACACGTGTAACAATCTTAAGAAATAAAAATCAAGAGTAGAAGATCTGCTTGAAATAACTTCGATTAGTTTTAATTCCTGATATGTGTCTCCTCAGGTGTCTGGGCAACAAAGTCAATTTTAAAAGGCAAGAAGTTTGGACCATTTGTTGGTGACAAGAAGAAAAGATCTCAAGTTAAGAGCAATGTGTATATGTGGGAGGTAAGAAATGGCCTGTAAATGGAAAAATGTGCCTGTCACCAGGTCAATATTTTTTCCAGAGATTTTAGAAATAGACTTGATGTAAGGTAATTGCCATCTATTGCTGCCATTACTAACAGTTATTTATAGACACTTGGATGGAGCAACCATTCTGAATTACAAAGCTTTAAAAACTATTTAACAATTTGAAATTGCTGTATTGTGTGGATCACACCTCCCCTCAGGAGTCTATTGCTGATAGAGCTTTGCTTTGTTGGTTCAAAACCTGAGTGCAACTGAGTGCTGTCACCTGCTTACAAAATTAGGGAAATTAGAAGGATATGCAATCTCTTAAGGAAACCATATCACTCTTCATTTAGCCCTTTGAAAACCAGCATTTGGAGTTTTTGTAAGACTTCTCAAGTGTTTCAGTATTTCTTGTGCTGGTCCAGCCTTGAAGCAAGTGCTGTCTGGGCAGTTCAACAGCTCTGGAAGCTCCACTGGTAGTCAGGAGACCTTCCATATTATGTAGATTTCAAAAGGTAAATGTCTTAATTTGGAACTGAATCCCATCCACAGTGCCTTTAAGGCAGTTCATAATCACTTCCAAGGACTTCTTCAGTCTTTCTGAAGGGAAACACAGCACACGGTTTTAGCAAAGTGAATAGTCAAGGAAGGGAGTGGTGGAGGAACTGTGGCATAGAATGTTCTGGAACATGGATTTTTAGGGTGAAGATGCTGATAATGCTCATCCATCCTTCTGTCCCCTTGCCTGCAAAAATGGAACTCACTAAAACACTGAGTACATGCACAGAACTTAGTGTTAACCTCTATCAGAGGAATTGATCTAGGACATTCCCATAAATGCAAATTCCCATTTAGAAAAACAATAAAGTTTTCAAGTATAAGTTTTATTGCATTGAGCTCATGCTATCACAAACTCTGCTGCATAAGGTATCTTCAGTTTTGATCAGGAACAGGAACATTTGGTGAGATTGAATCAGTCAAGTAAATTATTGACCTTACAATTGTGTTCCACAGTGCTGGATGCTGAATGCTCATGGTGGATATTTTTTCAGCTTGTGTTGAGAAATGATAGTTGCAAACCAGCTGTTTTAGTGTTTTATAGTTCGCAATGCAGGTGATAATGAGAGCCCCTGTTAGAATTCCACAGTAATTGTGTGCTGCTTTAGTAATGATTTTGGAGTTAGAAAAAAAGCAGCTAAACTGAGACTGCAACAGTTGGCACTGTATGTTGATATCTGAAACCAGTCCAGAATCTCAACTGTAGAAAATATGGTTTGTAGAAGGATGATGGTGTGTGGGAGCAGTTCTGTGTATGGACATTCAACTTGGGGAACAACCTTTTCCACAAGATTTCCATTTACTTCTGTAGTCAAATTAATCTGAATAAAAAGTAAGACTTCTAAAACTGGCATCTCCAGTCAATTTTAATGWTTTTGAACTGTCTTACCAGAGACTTGTGAAAAAGATGAGTTGTGTGTGTCAGTGTATGCCTGTGGTGTCTGAGGAGAGAACATATTTTCCTTTTCTGCTGGAGAAAAGCCACAGTTGGGAAAATGAGAGCAAGTGTCTGAAAAGGGAGGGAGATGCTGGTTTGGAATGACTGGCACAGCTGTGCTGAGTGGGTTTTATTGTGGGTACAGGAATCACTTAAAGTCACAATGTTACAGAGAGGAGTTGGAGCTATTTTCTTTCTCACAGTGCACAAGGCCTTTAAACAATATTCTGTAAATTAGACMGTAATGTTCTGTAAAATAGGAAGGCAATAAAGTATTTTGGTTTGTGGAAAACCCTTAATAAAGTAATATAAAAACGTAGTAAGGTTTTATATATATACAAGTAATTACATTTAGACATAAATTCCATATCTGTTTAGCACTCCCACAGCATTCTTTGTCTCTTCWCTTCCATTTTAACCTAAAGAATTACTTTTGCACTCTCATCTGGGAGGCTCTTTATGCTTTCATATTTCAAGGGTGTGCTGGTAAACATTCTTTTGAAAGTCAGCTGATGAAATCCATGCTGGAATAGTTTAAGTAAGGGAGATGTTTTCTGCTTGCTTGGAAAGAAACTAAGATGGTTATGGTATGGTATACTTTYATTGATAAAATCCTATTTCATTATACCAACAATATTATCAGTATGAAAACAAATTGAATTTATTAAATGGTTTTTTCTAAGCTGTTGTAGAAGTGCCTGTAAGATTGAAAATGGAAGAACAGTTTGAAAAGCCTTGGAATTACTTGTAAACTATCAGAAACAATAAAAAGCTATAACRTTATAGATATTTGGATTTTTAGAAAAACAGAAAAAGAGAAATACACACTGATAGCTCTCCTTATAGGCATCTAACTTGGATTATAAGAAGAGTGGGAAATGCATAATTTCTCTTCTTGAAAGAGAAGCAGAGTCTTGCAAGTTKTCTGGAAATGTAAACCAGGAGTAGGTGTCAGCCTTTTCCCTGAACAGAAAGGAAAAGCATTGAGAACAGAAGAACAGAAACCAAAGCATTTAGGCAGCATCTTGGATCATTCAAAATTTTATTGACATGGTCCGTTTTTTCATGTGATCACAAGATTTCTGAAAGGTTAAAATGTTCTTTTATACCCTGAAAAAAGATTCAATATAAAATATGCTTTCTCATATCTTTCCAAATAAAGCAAATGCTTCTGGCTTCCATATAGTTTCTTTTTCCAATTCATCAGGTAGTAACAATAAAGCTCTGTGGCCTTCATATCTTAAAATCAGTCATTGTACTAAATGCAAAATCTAGAGTATCATTTCAGGCAAACTGAACAGAAAGTGTAAAATGTTTTAAGGAGTTTGGCTTTTGAGCCCAGAGCCTTCAGAGAAGGGGTTGCAGGCCACAAGTGGGTTTTTTTCCAGTTGTAGCAGTTTCACAGAAAGATTGCAGAAGAGCAGCAGAGCTTTGCCCCAGTCCATCCCTGGCTCTGCTGAGCCCTCGGTGTTATCTCTGGCTTGGGTGATGCCAGTGCTTTGTGTAGCTGTGAAATGTGGTGTCCCAGTGCCTGTGCATGGTGTGAGCAGTGTCCTTTGTCTGCTGTGTCTCACAGGTCTATTACCCAAACCTGGGCTGGATGTGTGTGGATGCCACCGACCCAGAGAAGGGCAATTGGCTCCGCTACATAAACTGGGCCCGCTCAGGGAAGGAGCAGAATCTCTTTCCTCTGGAGATCAACAGGACCATATACTACAAGAGTTTAAAGGTATCACTGGCTGAACAGCTGTTGCTTTGTTATCTTTTATTGTTAACGCTTTTTATTCCTCTTTATTAAAGAACTTTTTTCTTACCATTTGTATTAAATTCTGAAAGATTTATGAAATATATTTAAAACACTGCAAATGCTACACATCATTGGTATAAATTCTTATCTGCCAGTACAGTTGACATTAAGATTTACTGTTAAACTACAGGATGTTTCAACTTTAAGTCCATCTTGTTGGGTAATGATTTGCTGTACCTTCAAATTTGATACAAACTAGAATGATAAAGCACAGAGTAAATGAAATAAATGTTTTTCTATTTTTATAAATACCAAGACTCATTTTTGCTGAGTTTTTGCAGTAATCAGTTATTTTTATAGTCTGTGCATCATGTGACAAAGTTTGATTGCCAGGACGCTTTTATTGGTAGCTCCATGAAACTATTTCTCATGGTTTTATACGTTTCAGTTTTGTTCTGGGGATGAGGGGGAGACAGGGAAAAGGGTGTAATTCCTGGAGCATTTTATTTCCCAAACCAAGAAAAAGAAGAGATTTTACTATAATGGAGCATGTTAGGTTAAGAATATTGTGGCTCCAAAATATTTCTTGTATCTCTGATCAAGGACCTACTAGCAGTGAGGGTGTATAGCTTGACTTGGTTTTTATTTAACATGCTTTTACGTTGGGGTATATGCAGTCTTGTTTTTGCATTATTGCTATTCTTCCATATCCTTGTGAGGCCAACAATATCTGTAAGTAATTGGTATTTGCCTAATAAAATARTGAGTTGAATCCATGCAGTTTTGAAGTTTATGGGCAGTACAGCAGTAGGTAAACGTTATTTCAGATCACTCAAGCCAGATTGAAGAAAACCTCATAAACATTTTCTGAACTTTCTATTGGCATTCAAGTAGAGGTTCACCATTGCCAGCCAGATTACTGACTTCTCTGCACTGTTTATTCCCAGAGGGCAGGCCCCCTGTATGACTTTGTAGCCAGCCTTGATTTCTCTACACATTTTATCTTGGATTATCTCTGCCTTTGCCCACAGTCCCACTAGCTCATTAACATAAGTGTGCTTTTGAAGTCACTCTGACATTTTAAATTTCTCAGTGCATCTTTTCTGCAAAGGTTTTAGTCTTGACAAAGATGAACATTCACAGACTTAAAATTTGTTAATTTGATGGATGATATTGCACTTTGGAAAATAACTGTACTGCTAAAAGAGGCTGAGCACTGCTGACAGAATAACAAATCCCTTGTCTCAGCACTGGAATATCCTTTTGTTCCTTTGACTGTTGTCTCCTGCAACCTGATGAATTTTATCCCAGTTACACCTTACTGCTAATTGAAACAAAAGAAGGCATGYAATAAAGAACATCTTGAATGTCCTTATCTTTTGCATATAATGTTAGAATCTCTATAYTGCCATTTCAAACCTGCTGTGTATTTACCAGCCTAGGTATGAATACATGGTTCTTTCCTGATCTTTATCATAATTCATAAATTTAGGGGAATTCCACTTGCTGACAAGTAAACAGCACAAGATTTTATTTACCTCCAAAGGACAATTCAAGTGGCTTGTGTGTCATTTTGTTCTGCTTTATCTTGAAGCATTGAAAGTATAGTCATGGGRTCTTATTTTTCCCAAGGTTTCCCTYAGCTTTTTGTAGGTTTTTAATTTGTAAGTTAAACAGGCTGATTTCCAAGCCTATTTGCTAAGATAACAGTCCAAATTTGCTTGGTKTAGAATCACCTCAGAACTGTAGAGCTTTAACTTCCCTGTTCCCCACTCTCAATGCATAGTTATAGAACAGACCTTGTGAGTGAGCACAAGCAAATGTTTTTCTCTTCTATCTTCTCTTCATCTTTACTGAAGGGTGGAGGATATTTGTAGGCTGCTTTGCATCTGCTTCTCCAGGATGCCAGTGTGAGAGCTGTGATATTGCAGGGAAAAGACTTAAACTCGTGATAGTTTGGAAAGATCTTCTGCCTCTGCTCTGAGWGGAGCTCATTGTGTAGTGTTCTTCTGCACACAGGACAGGACTTTAATTCTAGAAAAAGCAAGATATAGTGAACTCAGTTTCAGAAAGTCTTCTAAAGAAACTTGGCTGTGAAACTGTCCCTGATTAAAGTGAGATTAATTTGCTTGTGGAAGACTGTTTTGTCAAACAGGTTTATAATAACTCAAGATCCTCCCTGTTATGTAGGACAGAGCAACATAATGCTGGATTACAGTGAGAAAGATTATAAATGTCAGACTGTCAATTTTGGTTATATTTGGTGAGATGAGGCCACACCCAGGTACAGAAGCACAATATCATAGTAAAATACAGTGTCTATGGTGAAAAATAGATACTCTGATAAGGTTGGGCAGCAAATGTCTCTGTTTGTACAAGACACATTGCAATGCTGGAACGTGCACAATTAATTGACTTTTAGGTAATCTGTACTAGAACCTCTTAGGGTATAACTTGTTAGGATATTACTCCTGAAAATAGCAAATTTTGAATTTACAGTAAGCCTTTTGAACAGTATTGCTAAATGTTGCAGTTAGAGCAAAACCCACCAAAAATTGTGTGGGCGTTATTAAGCTAATAAACCTTCCCAAAATTCATACCTTTTCTAAGCAGGCTGTCCCAGCCTGACACTGCTCCACCCAGGATCTGTAGGGAATAGTTTGGAGGAGGTTGGGTTTTGGAGTTGTTACGGGGAAGTGTGGTGGTAGAAGTGGCACTTGCTCAGTGTAGTCCTTCTCTCATATTGCTGCCTAGGGAGCAGCTTTAACTGTCTGGTTTTGAAGCTACTGCTGCATCTCATTTTAGAAGTGCAAGGTTAGAGGGCTTACTTTAGATTCTAGAGCAGTCACAATAGAACTAAATTCAAACTGAATGTTAGATCCAGCCATGCAGCCAATAAATTACGTGCTGGTTACCACCCTGTGTTTGCATTGCCTGAAACCCCAGCCAGATCTTTGCTCTGGGTTTGTATCTTTTTTAGATGTTCCAGGTGGTTTTTTTGCATCAGACAGCTCTGCTGCATTCCTTGCTGCTCCCCAGCTGCAAAATGGGGCCATGCAAATAACTTCACCACTATTTATCCTATCAGGCCTCTGGAACTCTAGGAAGCCAAACCACAAGCTTTGCTTATGTTATAACTTAAACTCTTCTCTTAGATCTTGCACCTCTTGTTGTTACAATGTCTGGGGGTATGATGATAATTTTCCCCTTTATCATGTGCTRTGAGACCCACTAAAAATGGGCTGCAGAAGAAAGAAATCCCACTTTTGTTCTTGATATAAAATTCCCCTTTGGCTTCAGACTGAAGACACCCTTTGCTCTGATGTAATGACTAAAAATAGGGTCTGATCTCCATCAGCCCCACGTTCATTAGGCCCTGAAAGAGGGGGATTGTAGTTAAGGCATTTAAATTTTTCTTGGTTTWGGGTAAAATGCTTCAGGAAATGGAGAGAAAATGAGGAAGAATTAAAAAATAAGTGCAAATACATCTTTAGTCTGGCAACTTGGAGACTTAGTAGTTTRAGTCTGATGATATTTTAAGGAGCATGTGAAATGAACTGATCAATAGAGTTTCTTTTATTGGCAGTGCTGGGAGTATGAGTAGCATTTGCAGTGATACCATTTGACTAATTTGGTCTTCGTGATTTTTTTTTTAAATTGGATAAAAAAGAATAGAAATTACCAATTTGGAATGGCARGCAAATCTTTGATTTTTGTGATGAAGTGGATTTGTTAATGTTGTAATTATCTGTGTTCCTGTTAATCCAGTGCGATAATCTTTTCTTGGATCTTTAGATTTTGTTCCAGATCCCAGCTGTAGTGGCTGCCTCAGCAGTTACTTATTATTATATAATTATTAATTAATGTTATTTAATGCTTTGTATAAGGTAGATGTGTTTGCCTCAACCTGGTTGCTCCCTGAAAAGAGTTAACTGTGAATATCCATAGCAGTGAGCGCTGGGGATTTAAATCGGTGCCACTGTTTGAGGCAAACCATGATTTGGGGTCTTGCAGCTGGGAAGGTTCATGTAAAAAAAAAAGAAACAAAACAACAACAACACAACTGTGTATTAATTATTAATACAGGGACTATATTAATATTATGTCTATATTGTCACTAACTGTAGTGATGTGCAAAGGAGCAATGATACAAATTGWAAGAGGRGAAATCTAGATTAGATTATAAGAGATTCCTCCCTGTGAAGGTGGGCAGGCCCTGGCACAGGGTGCCCAGAGAAGCTGTGGCTGCCCCTGGATCCCTGAAAGTGTCCAAGGCCACGTTGGACAGGGCTTGGAGCAACCTGGGACAGTGGGAGGTGTCCCTGCCCATGGCAGAGGTGGAACTGGATGGGCTTTAAAGTCCGTTCCATCATCTTAGCATTCCATGACTTCTCTGATTTTTTGTGGGTCTTTCTTTTTTTTTTTGTAATTTTGTCCCTTTTTTATGATATATGTCTTTTTTTGTGCTTTTTTTCTGTTGGGTTTGGTTTTTTTTTGTCATTTTGGGGTAGGTTTTTTTTATCCTTTTCAGGTCTTCTATTTGGTCCTTTCTTATCACTTTTGTAGGGTTTTTGTTGGTTTCCTTGTGAATTTTTGTGGGTGGTTTTCATTATTTTTTTAATATGACTTTTTTGTGATTTTTTCTTTTTTGTGATTTTCTCTTTTTCATTATTTTTATTTTTGTGGACGCTATTTTTTATTTGTGTGTGTGTATGTATGTGTTTAAAGATTTTTAGGCATTGTTTTGAGGTGTTTTCGG